CTCACAATTTTTATTTTATTTTGCAAAAATGACCAAGTTTGTTGTGTCAGCAACACATCTAGTACAACATGAAAAACACGTAAGTGTAGAACACATGTGAAAAGTAACAAGGCTGGAAAACTCAGTGGACAGAGAATATTTTCCAGAAAATGACTTGAGTTTTGCCCTGTCAGCAACACATCTAGTACAATATGAAAAAACACGTAAGTGTAGAAATATGTGAAAAGTAAAAACTCAGTAGACAGAGAATATTTTCCAGATTTCATTTTAACTTCATATAGAAATAGCAGTTATCCTCCCTTACTCAAACATGCCCCGTTCTCTGTCAGTTCAAGGTCAGTTTTTTAGCCGTAGTGACAGTATTGTTTGCATCTCCCTTTGTTATTTTTTTTCCGGGCCCAACTCTTCTTTTTTTCATCAAGGATTTCTGAAAAAGCAATGGGCAAATTCCCTGCCTCCAAGATACCCCTTAGAGACTGGTGAACCACGTGTTTGTCTGGCTCTTGTAATGGGGTGTTAAAAGCACTTGTTCATCAGATATTTTCTTTTTATTTGTAGATTTAGAAGTATTTTAGCAGGTGTACATTTGCATATAAAAGAGAAAAAAGATAAGAAGTTGAGGCTTTCTCTTTCTTCTCTCAACATCATCTCTCTCTCACCTCTCTTTGTTCAGCATGTTTTCACTTTCTTTCTCTCACCGTTTCTATTTTCTAGACACAAAACACATATCAAAAAATAAACAGTCTCAGGGATCCTTCAGCATTTTGCAGGAAGATGATTGGGTTCAGGCAGCTTATGTAACAAAGTAGAGGAAAATACATTTATCTCATGTCATCAGTCAGGAGTTAATAGACAAGGATAGATTTTCACCTTCTGGAGCTATAGACTGCATGGGATGGCCCTCCTTGTCTTGCCTTACATTTTAAACTGCAATATTTTCTGGTTTTTAAACTAAATCTAGGCACTGATTTGAGTATATAATTGATGCTTGAACAAAAGATTCAGAACTGAAGGCTTGAACATGCGTGTGTGTGTTTGTTTCTGTGTGTATCAGAATATTCCAACCAAAAATAATTCTATTCTTTAGAAATGTTTGTTTTATTGAAACATTTTTACTACTCAATGTTTTCTGAGTGTTTTAGGCTAGGAAGTGTTTCCCTGGAGTTCTAAGTGAGGCTAGAAAGTGAAGCCTTTAAAGCAGCCACCCAGTCCTCAAATTTTCAGACTTACAGTTTACTTGCAGTTGAAAAAACTAAATTCTTTTCCCCTTGGACATATATCAACTTTGTCCCTACCTTGTTTATAACAGACTAACTTGAACTTCTAGATTGATTACTTTTGCTTCTTTATTTGTTCGTTCATTTAATAACTATGAATTTGCAGAGCGGCAACAAAGTGCAGCTTTTAACTGCTTGGTTCATCACTGTCTTTCCTCCTTCTAAAAAATCCTGGGCCTGAATTGCCACAAACCTTAAAGAGTGTCCATAGCTTTACACTCTTGCTTGATGAAGTTAGCATCCTGGCCAAGTCTTCTGGGCTGTTTCAGGAGGATGTCTGATTTGTTTGAGAACTTCTAGCAAAAAGTACCCTCTTCCCGCCATAGTTTGAAACCTGATCTGTTTGATACAGACAGCTCCTTAAAAATCTTCATACAGCTGATGCCTCCCTGGATAACGTATTCCAACAACCCTTTCAACAAGAAAGCTTTTCCTAACATCTAACTTGTATTCTTGGCTGCAGTTTTTCCCTAAGTATTCTTGTACCACTTTCAGTGAACACAAAAAGTTGCTCACTACCATCTAGTTTTGAGGCTACAAATATGTTCTGTTTTGTCTGTGCAGTGTTTTATTTTTAAAAAGAAGAAAGAAAAGGCAGAAGTCTGGCAAGACCAGGCCCACTTTCCCACCAGGCAGCAACTGGCTGGAGCCAAGGAGCAGCTGTGCTCTGTGGACAGGTCATGTGCCTCCCTGCCTGCTGCAAGGCAGGCCCTTCCTGCCGCTCCTGCCTGGCCATAGTCACTTAGTGGAGGTACCTGCTTGGCCCCAGAGGCATCTGCATCCACAATGCCCACCCTGTCCAGTCCGTTTGCAATACCTGTCCTTGAACCTTCCTTCCCTTCTCCAACCTTGTTCTATGCAGGCTATGCATCCTTTAACCACTTCTAATTTGTTTTAACCAGCCCTATTAATTTTGTTTTTCCTATGTGGATAATCTTCTGGTCTTTCATAAATAGTTTTGTGCAACAATTCTGACTAAATAGAGGTGTGATGCATGCTGTGGGGAAAACGACTTCAGCTCTGATGCATCTGATCCTCAATCAGACGGCAGCAGTGCTGGGTGCTCTGCCCTCTCCAGCTGCTTTGATGTCTGTGGTCCTGCCTCAGTGGTTGTCATTCCTCCAGGTGAATACACTTCATCTTTGTTCCCTTTAAACTTCACTTTGCCTTTAAGCAATTGGAGGGGAGTGCACACTGGGATTGGGGGCGAGAGATATGCCCAACAGTCCTCAGCCTGATCTTGCCACCCCTTTATGACTCATGTCAGGATAAAAACTATCCAGGTGGGCTTCAGTGACTGTGCTTGGAGAAGGGCCACAAAGGCTGAAGGATGAAACACTGGTGAGGAGTGTGGTTGGGAAGGGGTGGGCTCTGGTTGAATGGGGCGGGAGGGTGAGCCATCACAGGTTGGGTGGTCAGCCAAAAGCCATGGAGCGAAAGCCCGATTACAGAGCCCACACTCTTCAGTAAGGAAGGGAGGGGTACCAGAATGGAAAATGTGGAGCATAGAAAGGGCCCATCTTTTCCAGAGTATCAAAATGGTCCCTTGTTGCTATAAGTGATTTCACTTCACATTGGTAATTTCCTCCCTTGCTTACCTCAAACCAGTAATATTATCAGTCCTTCTTTTTTTTTGAGACGGAGTTTCGCTCTTGTTACCCAGGCTGGAGTGCAATGGCGCGATCTCGGCTCACTGCAACCTCCGCCTTCTGGGTTCAGGCAATTCTCCTGCCTTAGCCTCCTGAGTAGCTGGGATTACAGGCACGCGCCACCATGCCCAGCTAATTTTTTGTAGTTTTAGTAGAGACGGGGTTTCACCATGTTGACCAGGATGGTCTCGATCTCTTGACCTCGTGATCCACCCGCCTCGGCCTCCCAAAGTGCTGGGATTACAGGTGTGAGCCACCGCGCCCGGCCTTATTATCAGTCCTTCTTCTGTTTGGGCAGAATGCGTAATCCCTCCCAAATCTGAAATTACCTCAAGACTACTAGCTTGATATTTCTGACAGAAATCCTCTTCTGATTGCCAATGACACATTTTCCTGGTTTCTGAGAAGCAGGAGAGCCATCACTGGAGTCAAGTGATTTACCTTCAGACAAAGGACAAGAGAACTTGCAGTGTGCAGCTCCAGCTTCCAGTGGCCAGGAGGCTTTGTTGATCAAGAAGCTGCTCCTTTTTTTTTTTTTTTTTTTTTTTAATTTTCATCTTTGCTCTCTTTTCCTTGATGAAATAAGTTTAATTGAATGCAGAAATAATATATGGTAATTAAGATCTGGACTTGTATCCTGAGAGCTGAAAAACTTTTTGGTTGATTTTTATAAAATAAAAATGAAACAGGGCACTTTTACCTCTTTTACACTGATTCTTTACCTTTAGAATTCAGACACTCTGTTTTTGATTTTGTTAACATTGTCCCTCTTTCACAGTTACCTCACAGTGTAGTTGAAGTAACGCGGATGTAAAGACTAGCCAGAGGGCATCATGACACCATCCCATCGGAGCCATCCTAGGACAATGTGACCAGCCTCATCAGGAAATACTTTTGTCCCAGCCCCCACCCCTCCTGCCCACGCACACAAACACACATTACACAAAACAGTACTTTCCCCTCTGTATGCACTATCTGATGTTTTCTTTGTTAGATTTTTCAAAATACTAGTTTCAACGACCTAAACTGATTTCACAATCCAGCAAGTGTTACCTTAGAATTTTTTATCTTCAGAGCGAAGAATCCCTGATCTGTACATATTTTAATTACGTAGTATTTAATATTCCAAAGTATAATGCTCATCTTAAGTACTCGTAATAAGGGTCTCACGGTTAAGTTCTTAAATGAAGCCAGCAAAAGCAGAAATGCAACCTATTGCCAGCCCCTGACGTTGACAGTGGGACTCTTTGTGCCACATTGAAGATGTAGACATAGATCCTATTTTGTTATGTCTGTGCTGAAACTCTGATTCTCCATTCTCCATTTCATCTAGGTGCCCTTGAAACTTAGAGTAATGGGGAAGGTCGTGTCACTCAGGTTCTTTACATATTTTTGTTTACTGTTTTTCCCACGTCTTCCTCAATTTCATCTACAGCAGATGCCATTAGAAGCCCTGCATAGCCAAGGGCATCCTATGAACATGAGCAGGTGCAGGCTGCTGCTGATCCTTGTGAACACCTGGCTTTGCTGTCTGCAAACTCACTCTCACTCCTTCCCCATGCAAGAATTGGTTAGATTTCCTCAGCTGTGGGACTCTGAGCTCATCCAGCTGTCACCATCCTTCCTGACCCTCTCCCCATTCCCCCAGCCCTGTGCCAGAGCCCCTGCACTCAAATGTGAGAGTCCAAGAGCCGGAGGAAAGAGTGTTTCTGAGTAACCTGACCACTTAGAAAGACTGGCTCTCTCTTCTGGTTCATTCCAGTAGCTGCCTCTACAAGGCCCAGAGGGAAGAGAAACTACTTTACTGTGATAGTGAACCTATCCACAGATCCACTCAAAACAATGACTAGAATTTGGCTGCCTCAGATAAACTCATACTACTTGTCTTTGAGTCCTGAAACTTGGGTTCAACTAAATTGTTTTTGGTTTGTTTTCAGAATGTCTAAAAAGCGACAGTTCAGAAAAAAATAATTTGCATGCATTTGAGAAGTGTTAATCTCATAGGAAGAATTTAAGAAGCTTCTTTCTGGGCAGTAAAAAATGTAGTGTTTTTGTGTTTTTCTTTAATCAATAGAAACAGAAGCCTACCAGTTGCTGAAGAAGGCTACCCTTCAGGATAATACAAATCAAACTGAAAGCAGGTTTCAAAAGGCAGATGCTCCTGTGTCACACTTGTCAGGTAAGTAAGGGCATATGGCAGTGTCCAGGGGACCAAAGTGGCAAGGCAGGGCTGTGTTCAGGGAAGGGTGGTTATTCTTTGAAGGTTTCTGAAGTTTGCTCTGTAATGAGCTGTCAGCAGGTCAGAATGAGCTAGTACTTTTCTATTCTTAGCAAATGGACGTGTGGGAAAGCCCTTTTGTTGTGTCCTAGACATGTGCTGGCCAGCATGGCAATGGCCCTCCCAGGCCCTGGATTCTGCCAGGCGTGTCATGATAGTGACTTGTCACCAGTGACCCTGAGAAGACACACCCAAATTCCTTCTTTTCCCCATTGCTGCCAGTTTCTTAGTCATTCAGTGGGCAGTGTTGTGTTGGGCTGCTTTCCCTCACCAGAATGTTGGAAGAGTTTTTTTTACTAAAAAGAACTCCTTTGAGATCTTTTACTAAAAGGTGTATAAATCCCAGGAAAGCTAAATTTTAATTATTTAGGTATTTATGTATGTATGTGTGTATTTATTATTTTTGAGGCAGGGTCTTGCTCTGTCTCTCAGGCTAGAGTGCAGTGGCATGATCATGGCTCATGAAGCCTCAACCTCCCAGGCTCAAGCAGTCTTCCCACCTCAGTCTCCCATGTAGCTGCGACTACAGGTGCGCACCACCACACTCAGCTAACTTTTGTATTTTTTTTTTTTTAATAGAGATAGGGTTTTGCCATGTTGCTCAGGCTGGTCTTGAACTCCTAGACTCAAGCAATCCACCTGCCTTGGTCTCCCAAAGTGTTGGGATTACAGGTGTGAGCCACCATGCCTAGCCAGGAAAGCTAAATTTTAAACTTGATTATAGTTCCTTCCATCTAGGATTTTGGTTTAATTGTAATTTTGGTTGTTATACTTTGTTATTGTTTATCTGTTATTTTCAGTGATTTTCCTTTCATTATACCGGTTTTTAAAGTATAAATCACCTTAACGTCCTCTGTGAGAGTAAATGGATTAATACAGGAGGAAATGAACATTAATGACTTTCTTAGCTACCATGCCATTATTTCACCTAGCAGAATGAACAGTGGTTTCTAAATACCATATAATTCCCACTCCATATTCAGATTTCCCAGTTGTCTCAAGGATGTCTTCTTTAGCCAAGTACAGTGGCTTATGCCTATAATCCCAGCATTTTGGGAGGCCAGGATGTGAGGGTTGCTTGAGGCCAGGAGTTTGAGACCACCCTGGGCAGTATAGCAAGACACTGTTTTTACCAAAAAATTTAAAAATTAGCCATACATGTTAGTGTGTTCCTGTAGTCCCAGCTACTCAAGAAGCTAAGGCAAAAGGATCACTTGGGCCCAGAAGTTTGAGGCTGTAGCGAGCTATGACCACACCACTGCACTGGGCAGCAGAGCAAGACCCTATCTAAAAAAGAAAACAAAAAAATGTCTTCTTCAGACACATTTTTGAGAGACATACTTAGGGTGCATCAGACTTAGCTGTCTGTGTTTGGAGAGCTGTTTCCTGGATAATACTAGTGGTGGAGTCAGGTGCGGCAAAATCCAGTTCTTTTGGTGGTTTTGAAGATTTGGTGACCCACTGCACGTTAAGTGCCCAGCACAGTGTCTGATAGTGAAAAGCCCCCTAGGAGAGCCGGCCATTGTGGTGGTAGTGGTGATTTGAACTCTGCAAACATAAGACATTGTAGTTTGTTAGGTATAAAACAGGGCCTTTGGCCGAGTGTGATGGCTCATGCCTGTAATCCCAGCACTTTGGAAGGCCAAGGCGGGTAGATCACAAGGTCAGGAGTTCAAGACCAGCCTGACCAAAATGGTGAAACCTCGTCTTTACTAAAAATACAAAAATTAGCTGGGCATGGTGATGGACACCTGTGATCTCAGCTACTCAGGATGCTGAGACAGATAATTGCTTGAACCCGGGCGGCGGAGGTTGTAGTGAGCCAAGATTGCGCCACTACACTCTAGCCTGGGTGACAGAATGAGACTCCATCTCAAAAAAAAAAAAAAACAAAAAAACAACAGGGTCTCTGTCCTGCTGGAGATTGTCATCACTTGCAAACTCTTTAACTGTTTGCTTTCCATGACATTCTTCACATTTGAGTCATGGAATTTGAATCTAGAGAGATATTAGAATGCAGCCAACCCCCCCATTTCACAAACCAAGCCCCAGGAGAGTAACACCTTGCTCAGAGCCTTACAGCTGGATAGCTGACACATACTCTGAAAAGTGACTCCACACATCTGTTTCTAGTAAGTGTTATTTTCCATAGTTAATTGGACAGGTGCAAAAGACGAGTAAATTTGGCTGGGCCATGGCTCACACCTGTAATTCCAGCACTTTTAGAGGCCAAGACAGGCAGATCACCTGAGGTCAGGAGTTTGAGACCAGCCTGGCCAACATCGTGAAACCCCGTCTCTACGAAAAATACAAAAATTAGCCAGGCATGGTGACTAGCGCCTCGGCTACTCAGCAGGCTGAGGCAGGAGAAAGGCTTGAACCCCGGAGGCAGAGGTTGCAGTGAGCTGAGATCATGCCACTGCACTCCAGTCTGGGTGACAGAGCCGGACTCTGTCTCAAAAAAACAAAAGATGAGTAAATTTGACATGTAAGTTGTAGTCCCTTGGATTTGTATAAGAAATTATAGATTGTGATACTATTAATCTCACGTTTAATGCATTTTATTAATTTATTCATAAGTGAAATGACGCTCTAGGTTGTATAGTCAAGCACCCCTAAATCCAGTTTCCTTACTCCATATTCAAAATTGCACTACGTGTTTTGCAAGATTCCAGAGTTTCTGGCAGTAGAATCATGGAAGTGCTCCTGCCTGTGTTTGCTGTCATTGTCATTGTAGTCAGGTCCTTCCCTTGATGTTCATCCTACATTTGGCTGTGTGTTGTCTTTTCACCCTTGCTCTTATTCTGATCCTAAGGACTTATCTGAGCCCTAAAGAAAAGCAGAAAGTGGGCTGGGAGGGTGGAGGGCAGCTTCACAGTGCTGTTACAAATAGCAGGGGTGGGAGGTGGTGCACTTTGCACTCAAGGAGCCAACCCCAAATCTAACTAGTGAAGAAGCAGTGCATGTTTCACTTACTCCTGAGTCTTTGGATCTGTCCTGAGGAAAGCCACTTAAAACTTCAGCCTTAGTTTTCATGTCTGAAAAGACTGCCTCCTGTTAAGCATGTGGACACCCTCTTTGGGCTGAATGTGGACACATTTTAAAAATAATTGCTTTGCTGCAGAGCGTACATGCAAGCAGGCAGGTTACAGGTTACAAACTCAGCAAATGCTTTTTGCAAAGATGCCCATGCATGCTGTATCTGTGATTTTGATTGCCAGTTAAGAAGCGGACCTGTAGCAGAAACATCCAAGGCTGAGAACTCCCAGGAGGCAAAGATCAGGGATTACCCTGCAAATGGGGCAGCATGGGATTATCCAGGTTTCTGGCTCCAGGAAAAGAGGTGGAGTGTGCATCCTCCTTCTCAACCTTTAGAGGCTGATAAAGAGTGGTCTTGATGGTTTTCAGTGGAAATTCAGTCTCCTCTGTGGAATGGAAAATAGAGGATTTTGCAGAGGGGCTTGAGAGTGGATAAGGTGGGTAACTTATCCACGGGTCTCAATTATTTCTGAGCCCTGGTTTGCTGCCCATGTGTTTTAACAATGGGAATTATCCAGTGCTTTGTGACACAGTAAAGATCCATATGCCTACACGTGCATCTTGGTCATTTTAAACTGAGCTGTTTGGATGATTTCAGTTTTTATTTTTTGTGATTTCTATTTAGGTATCACAGGGAAACATCCCACTGCCTTTCAATATTCTACCAACATTTCATTCTCTGCCTCAGAAGCTCCCTTGCCTTCTGTGGCTTGAACACCATCTTCCTCTGTTGGCGTTTGTTTCACCAAACTTACTGTGAAGCCACTTTGTTAGTTTTGTCCCATGGCTGCATGACAGCCAAAGCTAACTCTCCATATTTACATTTATCACAGGTTTGAACATTGGCAGCGGTGCATTCGAGACAAAGACAACTAACAAAATTGCTTCGGAAGCTAGTTTTTCATCTAGCGAAGGAAGTCCTTTGTCAAGGTAAAGTTGTGAAAGGCTGTCTGAATCGTGGCAGCAAGATGAGAAATGTCACAACGCAATGAATTAAAGTCTGGCTGCATATTATTTTGTTGTGTGACTTGGAAGGTTATGGTTTGGGTTTTTGTTTATCTAAAATAACAGTTGAAACTTTAGTCTACCTTTGAAAATATTTGCACCAGAGCCAAGTATTGTTTTGCAGCTGTTGTTTCCTTGGTTTAAGACTCAATTGACACCTCAGTGAACCACAAATTAGCGTCTACAGCTGCTCGCAGTAGGACTGCTTAGAGACCACACAATGGAGGTTGTCAGAAAAAGGGCAGAGAGAAAACATCAGGCCTTAAAAGAAATAAAGTGGCATGTTTCTTCTTTTTGTGATGGCTAATATATAAACTAGTAATTCGTGGATATTCATTTTTATTTTCCTCTTCTTTTTTCAACCAAGTATTTAGGATAGATTCTTTCCTTTTCTAATACTTTCTTGCTTATTTTCCATAAAGAACAAAATTTATCTTTTCACATTTGTTAAACTGTAGCAGTAGCTTTTTGTAAGCAGTGATAAGAGAGTTGTGTGCTGAATTTGTCATTAACATAAAATACTAATCACAGAAGCTTCAGGTCACTTAGAATTTGTAGATGGGAATATAAGCTATCATCTGATGAAATACCCTACTCTTTTGCTTTGAGCTAAATATTGTTTAAAATAGCATAGCAAGTTTCCTTTTGTAACAGTATTGTTCAGTAGAAAGATGTCCTTTAGATGATTATATTACATTTGAATTAACTCCTTGTCCCCGATGAAATTTTAGAACAGGAACTTTGCATTTCTAGTGTAACATATAATGTTTCATAAGAGAAAATGATTTGAGCCAGAAGTGTAGAATTTTTTAAATGAAAAAATTCTATTTTTATTCATATTTTATAAAACAATACAATGTTTTTAGAAAGTGGAATATATTAAAACAAGATTGAATTTCTAAAATGGTTTTAGAAGCTTGACAAGTTCAGTTTTAGGGAAACAACTCATTTAATTATCAGAAATTATTATTTTTAATACCCAGGTTTTCATCCATATTTTTGAAGGAAGGGGGAGGTAAACAGGACAGGAAGAGTGTTAAAGTATTATGTTATTATGATTAGATTATAAATTCAAGTTCTAGGTCTTTAAATGACAATAAATTCTACAGATTGTTTTCAGGGTCGAATGTTACCATTTGGCTTAATAATATATAGAGGCACTAAAAAACTCAGTTCTTCCTAAACAGTCTTTACATAGGTTCTTTGGGAAAATTTTAAACACATTGAGAAAGCAGTTGGATTTTGTAGAACAATTCTCAGTCTAATAATTTCACATCTTGTCTAATCAAACCTTTTTGTTTCTTCAAATTCAGGCAGAGGCCTTTTGTTATTAGCATTGTTTCTGTATGAAATTAATTTCCTAATAAATTACAAGTAATCTTATCATCCCCTCTAAGGGGAAAAAAAAAATATCACACAAAAAGGCCTTCAAGGAACTCTTGGTTCTAGGCACTTGATAATAATCCAGTGATGAAAAGGTCTGGGCTCAGAGTGCGTGGGTTTGGTGTGCTGTTTGTCACGGTTTGGTTCTTGTGCTGGGTTTGGTGTTGTTAATACGCCACCCTGGGCTTTGGAGAGCTCCAGTTTTGCTGTTTGTGCTGGATTCACTGAAATTTCTTAGAGGCTTACATTTAAGGATCCCACTTACTGCAGTCACTCCTTGTGCTTTATTGCTTTTACAAGTGGTCTCAAACCCGGTACTTGAGAATAAACATAACAGTGCAGTGCTGCTGTAGCACTTTAAAAATTCTTCTTTGCTCTATTTTGTCAGTGAGCTGATGAGCAACCTCAAAAAAAAAAAAAAAAAAAGACCCCCCGGCCCCAAAAAAACTAAAAAAAAAAAAAAAAAAATGGCTTCCTCTGATGTCCTAGAGACAATAATTATGATGTGCTAGTTAAGCCCAAACTACAGCTGAGGGATTTTACTTTAAAGCAGCGGCTTGGGCGCAAAAATGCATTTATAGCTCTTTGTCTGCACCTCATTATGTGTGGGCCTGATTCATTAAGTAATTGGTTTGCAGTTGTTTACATGAGTATTAAGGCCTTCTTTTCAGCCGCCTTTGAGAGATACATTGTGCAAATGTTGCCTGTGATGAATGCAGAATGAGGGCCAGAGGGTCCGTCCTATTGGCTAAACAGTGCACTCCTGTTGAAAAGCCAGAGAAAGGGATTGGGTGCTGCTTTGCATAGCAATGACTTTCTTAATAAGCGTTACAGATTAATACACACAAGCTTAAAAGATGCAAAGAGATACTCTTAGCACATTTATACATGCTCATTTCATTGTGATGGTGGTGGGGTTTGGGTGCTTTCATATTCCGTTTTTCAGAGCAGCAGCTTCAGTGCATGAGCCGTAATAGAATCTGATGTTTATTGTATTATAAATCACGGGCAAGTAGGCAGATTGGCAACAGTTTATTATTAAAGATTCTTTCAGTGTAAATCTTTTTCTACCATTGTATTTGCTTCAGCAAAATCATTTTGTGGTTGAGTGGGGATGAAAGGCATAATGTACGAAGGAGTGAGTCCTAATAGGAAGCTGTTCTCCAAGTAAAGACCACTTGTTCCCTTTTGTTCAGGGGTGCATGCCAGAGCTTCCTCTCTTCTGCAAACATTGTCTCGCTTTACCTTCCCCAGCAAGTGGTTTTCACTCTCCCGGATCCGTTTGTTCAGTGGAGAGTATATTTTAACAGCCTGCCCTTAGCTTACTGGTTCCTGCCTTGTAACTTCAGCTTACTGGTTGGACCAGATAATGTTTTGCCAAAAGGAAAGGGTGTGTGCTTGCAACATAATTGCTTGGGGGAAAGGTAGCAGAAGTCACCCAGCCACTGTACCCTGGCAGGGCCACCGTGGGTGGCATTCGGTGCCAACCTTGCAGCCACCGGAGTGGCCAGTGGAGGGCGCCAGCCCACAGTTAATGCTCTGGTGGGGGCGGTGGCATCTGTCTTTGCCTGGTCACTGTGCATATTTCCGGGAATAACAAAGATTATAAGGAACCAGTAGTCCAATGAAATAAAAATGAGTTTTTGCTGGAAGTCCTTTAGGTTCTTATATAAAAGCACTCTTCTCTGTCTTGGGTTTGGCAAATCTCTGTTCTTAAATTCCATTGAATTAGCAGCTTCCTAAATATGTCATGTTTCTTATCACAAGCCCACATACTTTCTTTATCTGCACAAAGCAAATAAGAACAATCACTGCTTATTTGAAGAGAAAAAGTTAACAAGTTGACCTCACTCCACTAAAAGTGGCATCCTTTGTAGGACCCCTGATTAACCATCAGGGGGCGCTCAGACTTTGTTAAATTACTGGTTGGCCTTTAAAACCTAAAATTAGTGTTTACAGAAATTTGTTGGCACAGTCATTGGGGTTTTTTTCTTTCTGGATTATTTTTTGCCTTCTGTTTTTCAGAAACATATGTCTGTTTTGAGGAACATTCCAGCCGAAGTTGCTCCTTTAGAAATTGTAACACTGATTTCTGCTAGCATTCAAAAACCATTAAAAATTTTAGAATTTGGAGTCCAAAGACCATGTCTTCTCACAAATTAGCTATTTTCATCCTTCTAATAAGACTCCAGAACTGGAAGGACACTTCCCGCCAGGAGCTATTCCTCCTAATCCTGGACACCATAGACAGTGCTCCTGGCAGGACCCCTCTGAGTCTCATTGCCACATTCAACTGGTGTGGCCTCAAAATCACAGTAACTTGGGTATGTTTGTTAATAATGGACCATGACTATTTTTTCTTTTTTAAAACATTATATTGACAAGCAGGACACAGTGGCTCATGCCTATAATCCCAGCACTTTGGGAGGCTGAGGCAGGCAGATCACTTGAGGTCAGGAGTTTGAGACCAGCCTGGCCAACATGGTGAATCCCCATCTTTACTAAAAATACAAAAAAAAAAATTAGCCAGTTGTGGTGGTATGCACCTGTAATCCCAGCTACTTGGAAGGCCGAGGTAGGAGAATCTCATGAACCTGGAGGCAGAATTTGCAGTGAGCCAAGATTGTACCATTGCACTCATCTGGGCAACAGAGCAAGACTGTTTCAGAAAAAATGATGACTGGGTGTGGTGGCTCACGCCTGTAATCCCAACACTTTGGGAGGCCAAGGTGGGTGTATCACCTGAGGTCAGGAATTCGAGACCAGGCTGGCCAACATGGCAAAACCCCATCGCTACTAAAAATACAAAAATTAGCTGGACGTGGTGGCAGGGGCCTGTAATCCCTGCTACTCAGGAGGCTGAGGCAGGAGAATCATTTGAACCTGGGAGGCTGAGGTTGCAGTGGGCCAAGAGCATGCCATTGCACTCCAGCCTGGGTGACAGGGCAAAACTCTGTCTCAAAAAAAAATTGATCACAAAATTGAGCCAATGTGTTACAAACATTAGGCCTTCCCTCTGCTCTTTTTTCCAAACTCTGCCCCCTCCTCCCGCTCTGGAACAGGAATGAGTATCTGACACCCACCTCTGCTGCCATGAATCTCTGAGGAGGACCTGCACCCTGTCAAGCATGGGTGGTCTGCACACTGCACACCCTTACCAGGCAGCTCCCCTTGCCCCCCTGCTCATGAATACTTGACAGCCAGACCACGTGTCGTGCTCACATATGACCCACTCTTTCATGTTCCTAGCTTTCATTGGAATGTTCCTGCCCCACTCTTTTACCTGGTTAAGGCCCTCTAGATTTTTCAAGGCTTAACTCAACCTTCTGAAAGTTTCCTAAGCAGAGACCTGGCTGTACAGCATACCCCTCCTGTGGTCACCCTAGCTATTTCTGTTATCATCTGTAGTGTAGGGGTAGAAGCCATTTCCCGGTATCCTCCCTCCCACAGTGTGGCACATTTCATTAATTTATTTATTTATTGAGACGGGGTCTTGCTCTGTCACCCAGGCTGCAGTGCAGTGACACAATCTTGGCTCACTGCAACCTTTGCCTCCCAGCCTCAAGCAATTCTCCCACCTCAGCCTCCCAAGTAGCTGGAACCACAGGCACATGCCATCACACTCAGCTATTTTTTTGTGTTTTTGGTAGAAACGACATGTTGCCCAGGCTGGTTGCGAACTCCTGAGCTCAGGCAATCCTCTCTCCTCGGCCTCTCAAAGTGCCGGGATTACAGGCGAGCCACCATGCCCAGTGGCGGGTTTCTTAATCACCGGTGCTGGATAGTCATTACATTTCCTGAGTGAGTAAGCATGGATATATAGCTCCACCATTCACTCCAGTTTTTGTTTTGTTTTTTATGAAAGTCAGTTTGTACAAGTTCCCTCCCTTCTGTATGGCATCATGTACTTGAGCTGCAGGGAATCATGCATTTCTTACAGTTATCTGCATAAGTGTGTGAGAGACTGTGTGTGTATGAGACAGTATGTGTGTGTGAATGTGTATGCATATGTGTTTAGACACATGCATTTTCAAAAGGAGACTGGTGGTGACTGTGAATATGCCCTCTGCTGATGCATCCACAGTTTCGGGAAGTAGGACCTGGCTGAACACACTTGCAGAGAGCCTCACTGGGGGTCTTTCCTGGCTGCTGTCTTGTCTGCTGATGGAGAGGTGTCTGGCTTCGGGCCCTGACCTTGATGAGAGCTCTTGGAACATGCTGAAGGCCTGGAACATCATCCCCCAATTCCACTGTTGCCAGTTCTCAGCCAACCCTGCAGTTGCCTTTTCAGCCCGTGTCATGGTGGTTATTCTGGTGTCAGTCTCTTTACTGGAGGACAAGCACCTCAAGGGCATGGAGCGAGTCTGTCTTGTTTGCTGCTGCAGCCCCAACACAAAGTCTGATGCCTTGCTCTGCCCCTGCTCCTGGAAGGCCTGGCTAAGGCAGTTTCCCTGTCTCTTCCCGTTTCAAGGGCACCCATCCATCAGGTTCTTCGAGGAAGAAACCACGCATCTCAGGCCTATCTTCTCTCCATCAGTCCCCGAACCTCCCATTCCTTGGCCCCTGTGTCTGAGTATTGATCACCCCCACCTGGAACCCATGGCTGCACATCACCAAACTGAGCCCATGCTTTTGTTGATTCAAATGTGATGACTGTGCAGTGGTACTGCTTACTGAGGTCTGCTGTCTACAGGCTCTCACACAGGATTGTCTGTAAATTTATCAGAACACTTCCAAGAAGGCATTACTGTCCCCATTCTACAGACAAGGAAACTGGCACTTGGCGAGGTAGGGAACTTGCGCAATACCCTGCGGTGAGCAGAGTCTGTCTGGCCCCAGAGCTGATTCTGTCTCAGCTACTGAAAGCAGCTCATATAGCAAGGCACGCACGACGGCAGGGTTCTCCTTGTCCTAGTGTTTCCCGCTTCTCAGGAGTCCTGTGGGGTGGGTGTCTACAACGTGTGCATTTTAGGAGTGTCCCGAAAGGAGTGTTTTCTTCCACTTCTGCTCTACTGCTGGCTCGTTCTATGTGTCTTAGGACACATTTCTCAACCTCTCTGGGCTCAACCACTGTACAGCGAAGGCTCTGGGTTGATAATCTGTAAATGCTGTCTTCTAATTTGACAGTAGCCTTCTTGGCCTTGGGTATTCTTGTGTCTCATTTTTGTCTTTACTTGTTGGCTCCACAAAGCAAAACTTGTTATTGTCAATAATCCTTACTATGTAACTTTATATTGGTGTTGGCTGTGTAGACCAATTCTAGCTACGTTAGCCTTGTGCTCTTACAAAGTGAACAACTGACACGTAATTGTTACTGTTTTCCATCGCACACTGTGTCATCCTGACCCCATGCATAGGATGTTTACCGTGTGTCAGGACTGCTCTCAGATAAAACCTGTTCTGTTAAAACCTGGCTGGCCTTCACTTCTTAACAAGGTTGAGAACAAAAGTGACTCTGATTAGAATTGTCCTAACCTGGCTTATCAATGGCAGGGGAATTGATAAGCATTTATCAAAATGCATCCGAAATGAGATGGCTTAATGGATAGGTAGAGGGGAGAGATGTGATGAAGTCAATATGGCAGAATGGTAATAAGTGGGCATCTCCCTAATGGAAATAGGACACTCCTGGTACAACTGGGAGAAAAAAATGACCAAACCTACTGGGAAATTCCGCAGAGATAATTGTCATATCATTTTTAAATTAATAAAAATAAATTAACTTTTTTTGAGACAGAGTCTTGCTCTGTCACCCAAGCTGGAGTGCAATGGTGTGATCTCGGCTCATTGCAACCTCCATCTCCTAGGTTCAAGTGATTCTCCTGCCTCAGCCTCCCGAGTAGCCAGGATTACAGGTGCATAACACCATGCCTGGCTAATTTTGGTATTATTAGGAGAGACAGGGGTTCACCATATTGGCCAGGCTAATCTCGAACTCCTGACGTCAGGTGATCCACCTGGCTCAGCCTTCTGAAGTTCTTGGATTACAGGTGAGAGCCACCGCACCCAGCTGATTGTCCCATTAAAATGAGACCAGCGGAACATAGTTTTATTTTAATTTACTCAGTTAATCATCTCTAGTGTCTTACCTGAAAATGGTTTATTTTGAAGTAGGACCTCCAGTCCAATTGTAAACTTCTGGGGAAAAAATATCAAGTCTGCTCTCTGGGGTTCCAAGGGTCACCCCAGAGCCACAGTGCAGGGGAGAGGCAGGCTCTTAGGCTTGCAGCATGGGCCTCATGTGAGGCAATTCTTGACAGCTGTAATGGCCCTTGGGCCATGCCCAAGCCACTGCCTGGGTCTCTGCAGCCTGCAAGCAAAGAGTGGTTTTCACATTTTTAAATGGTTGGAAGAAAATTCAAAGAATAATGTTTCATGACATCTGAAAATTAGATGAAATTAAAATTCCAGTGTCTATACATGAAGTTTAATTGGAATACAGCCACATCTTTTAGTTTACAAATTGTCCATGGTTGTTTCTATGCTACAACCACAGAATTCAGTAGTTGCAGCTGACCATATGGCCCACAAAGCCCAAACTATTTACTGTCTGGCTCTTTACAGAAAACCTTTGCCAACCTCTGTCTTACAAGATGGAAACATTACTTCTACACTCTCAGCAAAGATTAGGCAGTCAGATTCCAAGCACATAAGACCACATGGTGACCATATCCCATGGCCTACACCCTTCACTCTGATTTCTTTTACTTTCTGAAATGCAGTTTTGTTATTATTTCATCTACTCTAGTAGACAAAGTCGTTGGCTCTATCCAGGACACCAGAGAAAGTTCTCAGGCTTCTCCATCAACCTTGCCTTAGCTTTACATATTAGGTATGACCTAAAGAAAAAAAAAGTTGACCCTAAGAATTCTGTATAATAAAAAATCAACCTTGAATTGCAGGGTCACATTGACTTTCAGAGATTTTCTCAAAAGGAACAATAATTGCCCCTTCAATGTGAGAGTTGAGAACAAAACACTGGAAAGCACCCTCTGCCTTTCTCCGTGGGTAGATCACGCACCACGCACATTTAGCTCTGAAACATGTTTCCTGTGAGTAAACCAATAACACAGACAATTAAGAACCATTACACAATTAATTCACATTTCACTGGGATGTTTACTGGCTCCCTGTGGCTTAAATGTTCTCAAAGCCACACTGTATAACCACAGGACAGACAGAAAAAGCAAGTTCAAGTGGCCTCATAGAGACATGGCTTCAGGAAATCATTTTTTCCTAGAGTACCACATGCAGAAGTGAGATCCCTGAAATGCGCAGTGGGTCACCTCCGTGGCAGGACTCGGCGTTGCTGGCTGATTGCTTTTGATGAGTTAAGTGACTACTAACACACACTCGCATAGATGGTTCTCATGCGTCTGTGTTTACAGCATTGTACGTGACTTTTTTCCTTTCCTCCCCCACCTTTAGCTTTTCTGGGTTTTTATTTTTATTTTTCTTTGTCAGCAGGAAAGCCAAAGAAACTTGAACTTGATTCTGAAGTGTAATATTAAATAGAAATAGGCAAATTAAGTATTGTATAATTGAATATTGATCAAATGCCTTTAATCAGGGCCCTCAGCTTAGTGAGGAGCACTTGTTCATTCCAAGTGAACATGTTCATTAATCACCTGTTAAGTGCTGTGCACCGCATTACCCAGGTGAGCTGAAACAGGTGTCGTCACTGCGTGCATGGAGCTTGCAGTCAGAGGGGAAAGGGTGGCCCATCAGTTCACTGCACAAGTGAATGTGAAACAGCAACTTGATGAGGACTCAGTGGTGAAGACAGGGAGTCGGAAGTGGGAAGGCTCCAGCGGGACAGCACGACACCCCTGGGGATCCACCTTGGACTGCTTGGGATTTAGGTCTTTGAGCAGAAATCAGTGGCAAGGCATTGAAGATTTTAAGCGAGGAAGTGGAGTGACCAGATTTGCATTTTAGAAAGCTCACTCTTAATTGCCTAGTGGAAAGTGGATTGTAGGGGACAAGATGAGTGTGTCACCAGTTAGGAGGTTGTTGCAGAGACAGAAGTAAGAGCTGATAGTTTTGTTGACCAGTATGGTGGCAGTGCCCAGGGAACTGGCAAGGACTGCACGAAGTCTTGTGGAAGTTTGGGAGGAATAGCAGGACAAGGGCCAGTGTGGAGAAAAGAGGAGTGGAGACTGGAGAGAGGCTTGGGAGGACTAGTGGGTCGGGGTGCCGTTCGCTGAGATGGGAGGAAGGGCCTGGTCTGGCAGAGAGGATGGTGAGTTTGGTTGTGGATGGGAGCGTTGACCATGAGGCACTTCGGAGGAGCTACATGAAGCCACCAAGTGGGCACTGAATGTGTTTCTTTCTGGAGCTCAGAGAAGTGACCCAGGACATGGGCACCTGGCTGAGCTCTCCTGCCACTGTGTCCTTTCTCCTGTGTCCTGGACTCCCTGCTGCCCCACCACACCACACCTTGTTCCTCAGTCCCAGCCTGTGAAGGCCTCTGCCTTGGGAGGCACCTGGCTTCCTCTGCGGTCTTGCAGCTCCCCCATCGCCGCCACAGTGCTCTCAGTCCCCCCAGCCAGCAAAGCTCTCTACCCCTCCCGCTGTGGCTCTTCTTGTATGGACCACAGCTGGCAAATTAGGCTCTTTCTACTCCTCCTAGAGTTTTATAATCCACCCTCCCCTGCAGCACCTAGCCCTGTGTCCTCAGGTATCGGGAGGTGGGGAAATAATAGACATCCCCACAGTTGCATTTGTGTGTGTGTGTGTGCGTGTGTGTGTGTGTGTGTGTGTGTGTGTGTGTGTCACTTTCTGTAAAATGGGTTCTTGCAGGCTCACCTCACTGGCAGGTCCCCACAATCCTGGCAGCTCCAGGACTGTCATTCAGCTGCTGACCCTTCCAGATGCTCATAGAGGTCTTCCATGCTTCATGGAGAAATGGCTGTGAGCACTACTCAGTCATGGTAATTAAAGAAACAAGCACTAAGTTTACAGCGAACACTGAAAGATAGCCTAGAAAATGATACCTTAGTGGAGCATGTTTTTCTGAAAAAAATAAAAAGGAAATTATAGCAAAAGGTAGATTTTTAAGCCAAAAGTCAACCAGACTTGCCCAAAGGGAAGGAAAAGATGTATTTGCAGGGTTTACTCTGTCCAGAAGAGCAAGGCTGCGGCCGTGAGGTGGTGGTGCGTGGTGTAGGGCGGTGTCGAGCCATGCACCAAGAGTGGTTTCTCTTCTGACATCTCCTGTGACCAAGTCTTAAAGAATCTTAAACTTATTAAAATTGCAAAAGCTCCTGAAAAGGCACATGGAGAAATCATATCATATAGAGCCAGTTTTCTTGCTGTATTGGCCTCAGTCGAGAAGTCACTCAGTCCTGGATGTCATGGACACTGGCTTTTATGTGACACTTGCAGTGCTCTCTACCAGGTGTTTATTCTGGAATCCTTTCTTAAGCTGTTAGCATTGCTGCCACTGGTTTGACTAAGTATTTTAACTTCCCCCAACAACGTCTTAAATTCCCTACTGGAAGTGTTTCATTTTTAGCTTGCCTAAAAGCACTAAAGCTTTACACATCGGTGTTTTCCAGAAGTCTGTTGAAGGGAAACCGGTCCTCTGCCTCAGGGGCCCATGCGATCATCCTCCCCCAGGAACACATGGCCCCACCCAGGCACAGCTTAGCAGTGGGGGGCGGGCCATGCTGACCTGCCGAGGGGACACACACAAGACAGGAGCAATGCTGTTGAGCAGCGACCCTCCCAACAAGGCCACGCTGCATCCCAATATCTTCCTTTTACTTTTAAAATCTGGGAATTAAGTGCAAAGTTCTGGCCTCCAGTGACTCAAAGTGCTAATGCATTTGTTATGAAAATGTTAGTCTCATTGTCTTTTTTTTTTTTCCAGAACTTAAGACTGTTTCTTTTTTTTTGCAGGCATGAAAACAAAAAGAAACCCATGATCAATTTAATATCTAATGGTAAGAGAAATAACTGGACACCAGATTTTCATTTTTTGTTTTAACCAAAAAACTCTGCGACATGCATTTGTTGTTTACACCCTCATGTGAGTCCTGAAGCGGCCATGCTCACAGGGACTGCCCTTGCAGCTCTCCCTGGGGTGGGACCTGAGGGCTCTGGAGGCACAGTTCTTCATAGACAGGGCCACACAGGTGCCATGGACCACAGGGGCAGAGCATTGTAATTTGCAACTATGGCTTTGCAGGGGGATCCTGGCCCCTGCATCTAATTAATTACCAGCATTGTGTATTTTACCAGTAAAATGTTTCTTGCCTCTCTCCCCATCCTCAGAAGTACCCGTTGCTCATGACTGGACAGGCTCTTGAAGTAACTAACCGGTTTCCTCATACCCAGTCCCTCCCAGCTCCTGACGGTCCTCCACCTGGCCACCAGCCAGGTCCTCCAAACCCTGGCTTCCCCCACCTTCCTGTGTAAGGACTACCGATGCCTCCCCACCACCTGCAGGGCAGAGTCTGAGCTTTCTCCGTTCCCAGGAGGCCCCAGCCCTGCTCTCCAGCTTATTCCTCCCAAGGTCCTGCCCTCTTTGAGTCAAGCCACGGTCAGCTTTTTTCAGCTATACCACACCTATGCCTCTGTATCTTTGCCCATGTTGTTCCTTCTGTAGGGAGTCCCTTTTCCTTCTCCTCAGCCCAGGGAGCTCCTATTCATCCTTCAACACCCAGCTCACAGGAAAGATCTAGCCCTCCTTCTACCATGACACTGTGGCATACCTGTTGCCCAGCTTGGGCTTTCGCAGCTCCTGTCTCCTTAAACTTACCCTTATACCGTAAATTAAAGGTATATTTGATTAATAGTTTTATTGCTAATAACAAAAATATCTACTATTTATTAAGCACCCAATGTGTCCCACTTTGCTAACCCAGCATGGAAACGAATTCAGAGCTGCTGTAGTGCCTAGGCCTAGGAATCTGCATTTTTAGCAAGTACTCCAGTGTGAATCACTCTTCTAGAAGGACAGCTACCTACAGTTGGGGAGACAAGTACTCGGTGGGTTGTGATGTGGAGTATGGGCTTGAGTCAGATGACTTGGTGGGACTCCCGGCTTGGCCACTCACTGGCATTGTGATTGTGGCTAGTTACTTAACCCCCTCAGCCCCAGTTTGTTTGCTCAGTAAAATGGAAACATTAATACTTACCTTGCTAGGCTGGTGTGAGGTTGAGATGGGGTCACATATGAGGTCAGCACAGAGCTGGCAGGCGGTGCGTGCAGGTGTCAGCAGAGTTAAGAGATTGTTGCTGTAGTAGATGTGGTCAGCTCCACCACCACATTTCTGCCGGGCCACCTGAAGGCACCTCAGCTCCACCAGGCAGCTGTGCCTGTCTGCCTGAGGGCTTTCTCTGGCTGTAGGAGCAGACCAGCCCTCACAGGACAGCCCAAAGTGCCGGGGAGTTGATGCCCTGGGTTGAGAGCAACCCTCAGCCAGCAGAGGTGAGTTGGTGATCGGTAACCCCGTTCCCTTACTCTTCATTGGGACAATCTGGGGAGAGGTCTTCAGGCTCTCAGGGGCCCCAGCAGGCTGAGCCTCGCCCATCCACTCACTGCCAGGCAGCTACTCGTCATCATACCCTTCACTGGGTTCCTTGTGTCACTGTCTCCATGGTTCCTGGGATCACCTCTCAAGTAAACAATGTGGACCAAAGTCCTGTCTCAGGCTAAACATTTCTGATTATTCCTCTGCCATATCTTTCCATTCTCCTCTCTGCTCTCATAAAGAAGAGAGGGAGATAAAAGTGGAGGGGCAGCTGGGGTGGGGTGGCATCAGGATGATACAACACCCCAGGGAACCCTGCTTCCGTGTTACCTCTGACTGACTTTATTTTTATTTATTTGTTTGTTTGTTTGTTTGTCTTTTTGTTTGAGGGAGTTTTGCTCTTGTTGCCCGGGCTGGAGTGCAGTGGCATTATCTCAGCTCACCACAACCTCCACCTCCTGGGTTTACAAGCAATTCTCCTGCCTCAGCCTCCCAAGTAGCTGGGATTACAGGCATGTGCCACCACGCCTGGCTAATTTTGTATTTTAAGTTGAGTTGGGGTTTCTATATGTTGGTCAGCCTGGTCTCGAACTTCTAACCTCAGGTGATACCCCTACCTCAGCCTCCCAAAGTGCTGGGATTACAGGCGTGAGCCACTGCGCCCAGCCATTAACCCTGACTTTAAATCCCTATCCTATGATAAAGAGTTGGGCACAACAGAAGGGAAAGGGAAGCATTCTACAAAGTGTGTTCCATAACACTGCATAGGATACACTTTGAAATGTGTACATTTGTGCAATACGGACATGCATTTGGATGTATCTGGTCAGGTACATCATGTGGTGTCCCTGTTAGGCATTTTGCAAACTGACACTCTGCTCAACCAGTCCCTCAGTGCTGTGCTGTTTTGTAAGCTCTTAACTAGAGTGCAGAAATGTTAAATGGCTGTCTGGTTTTATTTTCCAGCCGTCTGGGATGAGTCTGACGACAGCAACTCAGAAATTGAGGCTGCATTACGCCCTAGAAACTATAACGCCGACGATTCTGATGATTTTTATGACTAATATGCTGTAACATCTGTTGGAAATGAAGTCTTTAAACAAACTGAAATCCTGTGTTCATATGGGATAGCCAAAATAAATATGTTCTTTTAAGTTTTCTAATTGTTTCATAGGAGAACTTAGGACTACATTGCTATTCAAGTGAAATTTTATAAATATGAACTTGCATAATCATTTTTAAGTGTCATCATGAAGCAAAGTGATGAATGCAATGCCCATCAAAATTCAAGTTGCTTTCTTTGTAGGAATTAGCCAGCCAATCTTAAATTCATATGGAAATTCAAGAGACCCAGAATAGCTAAAACAGTCTTGAAAAAGAAATACAATTGGGAGGCCAAGGTGGGCAGATCACTTGAGGTCAGGAGTTCGAGACCAGCCTGGCAAACACAGTGAAACCCCATCTCTACTAAAAATACAAAAATTAGCTGTGTGGGGTGGTGTGCACCTCTAATCCCAGCTGCTCGGGAGGCTGAGGCAGGAGAATTGCCTGAACCTGGGAGGGAGGCAGAGGTTGCAGTGAGCCGAGATCACACCACTGCACTCCAGCCTGCTGTTTTGTAAGCTGCTTTTTTGTGACAGAGCGAGACTCTGCCTCAAAAAAAAAAAAAGAAAGAAAGAAAGAAATACAGAGTTGGAATTCTCACATTTCCTTATTTCAGAACTTAATGAAAAGCTACAGTAATTGAGATACTGTGGTACTAGATTAACAGACATCAATGGAATATTGACTCTGTTGATTTATATGTATCTAGAATTGAGAATCCCAAAACAAACTCTCACATTTGAGCCAATTTTAATTTCTGACAAGACTGGCAATTTCTGCTATTCAATGGAGTAAACAATAGTCTTTTAAAAAAATGATGCTGGGACAAATGGATAGTCACATGCAAAAGAATGAACCTGGACCCCTGCCTCACACTCTATACAAAAATTAACCAAAATGGATCAAGAAACTAAATGTTAAGAGCTATAACTATAAAACTTAGAAGTAAACATAGGTGGCTGGGCGCAGTGGCTCATGCCTGTAATCTCAGCACTTTGGGAGGCTGAGGCACGCTGATCACCTGAGGTCAGGAGTTTGAGACCAGCCTGGCCAATGTGGTAAAACCCCATCTCTACTAAAAATACAAAAATTAGCTGGGTATGGTGGCAGGCGCCTGTAATCCCAGCTACTTCGGAGGCGGAGGCAGGAGAATCACTTGAACCTAGGAAGCAGAGGTTGTAGTGAGCCGAGATTGCACCATTATACTCCAGCCTGGGTGACAACAATGAAACTTCATATTAAAAAAAAAAAAAAAAGTGTAAATCTCTATGACCTTGGATTAGGCAACAATTTCTTAGATATAACACCTTAGTTATAACCCTTAGATGTGGTTGCAAAAGACCACATTGAGGTCAGGAGTTCAAGACCAGCCTGGCCAACATGGTGAAACCCCATCTCTACAAAAATACGAAAAGTTAGCTGGGCATGGTGGCG